TGACCTTGAGCAATCCGCCCGCCTCGGCCTCCCAAGAGCTAGGATTACAGGCGTGAGCCACAGCGCCCGGCCTCACCATGAACATTTTTATTACTGAAAACCTTTCAGTGTTGGGGTCCATGTTTTCAGACTTTTTAAGAAGTCTGTTGAGGTCTGCAAAAGCTTCTCCTAAACCCTTCATTGTGATTTTCTTCAGAGTTCTTCTTTTTCTTCTCCTGTAGTTTCCTTTTCTCTTGCCTCTTTTTCAGTTATGCATTCCTGGTCCAGTTCTCATAACTCCACACTAGCAATTCCTTAGGAACCACCTCTAGGAGCTGTTCAATGTCGCCCTCATCCACACCCAGGTTGAAGTTATTTGCTACCTCAACCCACAGCCTAACCTCCTCATCCTTGGCAAATCCTTTGAAGTCATGGATGAACCTCAAGTGTCTTCTTCCAGACACCATTCATACCCTTCTTGGTGACATCATCCCAAGCCCAAGCCAGGTTCTTGATGCAGTCACAGATAGAATCCTTCCAGAATTGCAAAGTCTTCTCAGTGTCTTCCTTGGTTGCAGCAACGCCTGGGCAAAGGTTATCCTCGGGCAGTCGGCCTTAAGCTGCTGTAACTCCTGGATCAAAGAGATGGTGTTTGAAGAGAGGAACACCCCTTGGATACTGGGATGAAGATCACCAATAAAAGGAGGATGAACAGGAGCATTTTTAACAATAAACAAAATCTTGAAAGGTATGGTACTCTCCAAACAGTACCTCTCCATCTTTCTGGCACAGTGATCCAGAAGGGTGCCTTGGAAGAGAAATTGAGTGATCCATGACTTCTTATTGCTCCTGTTGTCCACTGGCAGCATGTGCTTACTGCTATGCTTGAAGGCCCGGGGGTTCTCGCTGTGCCAGATCACACCGGGTTTCAACTTGTAGCTGCCCCAAGCAAGACTGCTAAACTCCTGTCCTTAAAAGCCTTGAAACCTGGCATCAACTGGGCCTCCTTATGGATGAAGGTCCTTTCGAGTGTCCATTTCCAGAACGGAGCTTTCATCCATATTGAAGATGTACTCTGGCAAGTAATTTCCCTCTACAATCAGCTTATCTGGAGTTTCCCAACATTTTTCAGCTGCCTTCACAACAGCACTTGCAGACCCACCTCTCACTTTCACGTCATGTGATGAACAATGATTCTTGAACTGTTTAAACCACCCAGAGCCAGCAGTAAATTCAGTATTACAGTCAGGTCCAGCCTTTCCTCTCAACATCGCAACCGAACTTTTTGCTGTGGCCACGATCATCACGGCGCTGAGAGGGATCTGCTTCCATGTCTGGTCTTCAATCCAGGTCGTTAGAATTTTCTCCGTATCTGGCACAGGCCTGTCTAGAATTTGTGTCAGTCTCGTTGCCTTCGATGAAGCAGATCCTTCAACAACTTCTCTCACTCTGTTTTTGTTCTTCAAGATTGTAGCTATGGTGGAAGAGGACATGCCAGCCTAGAGAGCAATAACCATCACTGATTTTCCACCTTGTTAGTCCCTGATCACTTTTTTTTTTTTTTTTTTTGAGACAGAGTCTCACTTTGTTGCCCAGGCTAGAGTGAGTGCCGTGGCGTCAGCCTGGCTCACAGCAACCTCAATCTCCGGGGCTCAGTGATCCTACTGCCTCAGCCTCCAGAGTAGCTGGGACTACAGGCATGCGCCATCATGCCCGGCTAATTTTTTGTATATATATGTTTTTTAGTTGGTCAATTAATTTATTTCTATTTTTGGTAGAGACAGGGTCTCGCTCAGGCTGGTTTCGAACTCCTGACCTTGAGCAATCCGCCCGCCTCGGCCTCCCAGAGAGCTAGGATTACAGGCGTGAGCCACCATGCCCAACCCCCTGATCACTTTTAATTTTGTTTCTAGGTCAATCACTCCATGTGGCCTCTTACTGGCAACATGAGCCATGAATTTTATATACTTAGAAACCATGATGAACAAGACAGCACGAGATCAAAGAAAGCACAGAGAAAATGATGCAATCAAGAGACTCGGTAAACACGAGATGAACAAGGCTGCTGCCAGGTAACATGGTACACTGTTTTACAGTAAAATTTTTTTCATAAGTAGAAGGAACACACATAAAATAACCAATGGAAAGTAAATACATAATCTAGTAACATAATCTAGTAACATAGTAACTTGTTATCAAGAATTATGCACAGTACATAATTATATTACTGGACTTACAGGCTGTGGTAGCACAGATTTGTTTACACCAGCATCACCACAAACATAGGTAACATGTTATGCTATAGTATTAGGATGGCTCCGCTGTCACTAGACAACAGGAATTATTCAGCTCCATTATAATCTTATGGAACCAGTGTTGCCATGTGGTGCATGACTATTTAAGATTCTAACTATATGCTAAGTGCTAAGAAGTGAAAACAGGGTAAGATAACAGATAATCATGCCAGATAGATGGTTAGAAAAGACTTCTCTGAGAAAGTGACATATAGGCAAACATCTAAAGATAATTACCGAATTAGCCAGATGGAGGATTGGTGGGAGGAGGAGAGATGGTTGGTACTTTCTGAGCAAAGAGAAGTCCTTAGGAAAGAATTTAGCACATCTAAGAAACTGCAAGAAGGCCAGGGTGACTAGAGTGAGTGAGGACAATACTGTAAAGTAAGGATGGAGAAAGTGGCATAGGCCAGATCACAGAGTGTTGTAGGACACATTAGAGCACTTTTATTCTACCTTAAACGCAATTGGGAGTCACCGAAAAGTTTTAAGCATGGAAGTGACAAGACCATCTATACCTTTAAGAAAAAATCCCATGTGTGAGTGGGAGTGGAGATGAAGAGAGGTTGGTCAATGGGTACAATCATAGAGTTAAACAGAAGGTATAAGTTCTAATGATCCATAGCAGAGTAGGATGACTACAGTTAGAAATAAGGTATTATATATTCTAAAGTAGCTAGGAGAGAGAACTTGAAATGTTCCTAACATACAGAAATGATAAATACTCAAGATGATGGATATCCCAAATTCCCTGACTTGATCATTACGCATTCTATGAATATAACAAAATATCACATGTGCCCCATAAATATGTAAAATATTGTGCATCAATAAAAAAATCCCAATGTCTAAGCCTCGTTATTTAAATGTAGCACAAGTTCAGATAGTAATGGATACCAGGTTTCCAAATTTAAGTTTCAACTGTCAAATAATTAGAGTTGGAATAGCAAAGGATTTATCTAAACATTTATTTGAATCTACTGAGTACCAGAGAAAGAAAGTTGGGAGAGTGAGAATTTGGCTCATATCTTTTAATTTAGAAAATTTCTGATCAATATGGTAGAATGAACAGATGATAAGAAGGGCCCCCTCTATTTTGCACACACATTGGAAATGCTCAACAAAAAGCCTCCCAGTGCACAACTGTAAAATAAAATTAAAAAACAAGAATGAAAACTTCAGGTGCCAAAACTTAAAAAGGAAGTTAAAAGTCATAGCAGTAGTAGATGTAAGGGTGTGCTGACTTTTGGAGTCTAGTTGGATTACGTTTGAACACGGAGTAAGACTCTAGAAGAGATGGAATTAAGGTCCTAGGCGCCTCATGGAGAGGCAGAAATAAACATCCATAAGACAAGAATAGGACATTATGAGGAGAGAGGGAGGGAAGGAGGATGGAATGGAGGGAGAAGGAATGAAGAGGTCACAAATAGATCATAAATAAATAATAAACATAAACACTTACTGAATTAATTTGAGTGCTACATAGCTAAAGTCTTATTTCTAGTGAATAATGTTATTAATAAATAGAGAAATACTTGCTCCGCTAACATGCCAAAATAAAGGTGTAAGCCTTCTGATTCAATACTAGGGTAAAAATAAAACTACAGGGGGTAGAGATTTGACTTGATCCTAGTCAAATGCTTTTGTTATTTCCTATTCGCGATTAAAAACACTCCAAAGCACTTAGAAGAAATTAAAAACTCTCTCAAAACTCTTAAGTCCTAATGTTCCCTAGACTGGAAAGATATTTAATAACAGCACTTGAACACCCTATTTAAGTTAATCACTTTACAGGAGCTGATAACATCAAGTTGATATGTTTCTGAATGCATGACAGTAACTGCTTAATGGGTATGGGATTTTATTTTAGAGTGATGAAAATGTTTTGGAACTAGGCAGAGGTGGTAGCTACACAACATTGTGAATATACTAAATGCCACTGATTTTTAATTTTAAGTGGTTAATTTTATGTTGTGTGAATTTTACTTCAATTAAAAAAATTATTGGCCGGGCGCTGTGGCTCACGCCTGTAATCCTAGCTCTTGGGAGGCCGAGGCGGGCGGATTGCTCAAGGTCAGGAGTTCAAAACCAGCCTGAGCAAGAGCGAGACCCCGTCTCTACTATAAATAGAAAGAAATTAATTGGCCAACTGATATATATATAAAAAAATTAGCCGGGCATGGTGGCGCATGCCTGTAGTCCCAGCTACCCGGGAGGCTGAGGCAGAAGGATCGCTGGAGCCCAGGAGTTTGAGGTTGCTGTGAGCTAGGCCGACGACACGGCACTAACTCTAGCCTGGGCAACAAAGTGAGACTCTGTCTCAAAAAAAAAAAAAAAAAAAAAAAAAATTATTGAGGACAAAGGCATGGTCTATATGAATGTAACTTGGCTAAGTACTCTCTTCACACAAAAATTCAGCATTCTATGCTGCTAGCCATCTAACAAATTTATGCCATTGGCCACAAAAGAGACCAGGCAAGAAGACACAAACAATTATAACAGAAATTCAACATCTCCAGGAAAACAAGTCACATGATGCCATATAGTAAAAATGATTCTTCTTGGAACATGAATTTTGGGGGAAAATCTAATAATTACTCTTTAACAACTTTTGACACTCCACAACCCCACAGATCTGATTTTATGACACCTTTTGCAATATAAACATATAAAACTTAAATGTCACAGGAATACACTAAGGAAAAAAAAGATGAATGAATACCTTACCTCTGAATTCAAGTCCCCGCAGCTGGAAAGTGACCAGACCATTGCCTATCTCTATGAGGTGTACTAACGCGTTCAGATAGTCAGAGGCAAGGATGAAACAGTCCCCCGTGCTGTAGTTTCCCCACCGTCCTAGCAGCAAATCACCACAGAGACTGTGCTGCAGGGATCTAGTTAAATGTTCATAAAAGATGGAATTCAGATTGTTGTCATCTGATCCTGTAAGAAGGGATTAAAAAGTTAAATTTCATCTTAAGTCCTCTTTATATCAGCAAACAAAAGTTTTAAAAATATTAAAACTAACTTCCAGTTAGGGTTATATTTATATTTATTTGGCAAGGAAAGTAATATTCATACCCATAACAGTTTCTTATGAAACATAGGATAATGGAAAGGTTTTATAATTTAGATTTAGAAGTCATGTAACCTCTTGGAATCTACAGTTCCCATCAATAAAAAGTGGGAATTGGATTAGATGCAATCTAAGAATTTTTCTACTTCTTTAAAAGTCTATAAATTATTCAATGCAATATGTCTTATAATTAAAACCATACAGGACGGCCGGGCGCTGTGGCTCACGCCTGTAATCCTAGCTCTTGGGAGGCCGAGGCGGGCGGATTGCTCAAGGTCAGGAGTTCAAAACCAGCCTGAGCAAGAGCGAGACCCCGTCTCTACTATAAATAGAAAGAAATTAATTGGCCAACTGATATATATGTATAAAATTAGCCGGGCATAGTGGCGCATGCCTGTAGTCCCAGCTACTCGGGAGGCTGAGGCAGAAGGATCACTCGAGCCCAGGAGTTTGAGGTTGCTGTGAGCTAGGCTGACGCCACGGCACTCACTCTAGCCTGGACAACAAAGCGAGACTCTGTCTCAAAACAAAAAAAACAAACAAAAAAAAAAACAAAAACAACAACAACAAAAAAAACCATACAGGAGAAATGAAAAAGAAAAAATAATTCTAAAGGAGAAGAAAAAGACTACTTGGTAAAGGAAATGGATAAAATCATACAAGATTTGAATGAGACACTCCAAAACAAAGAGAAGTTGGTCAATCAAAAAGAACCTATATATCAAGCTGGCTAATACTAAGCAAAAATAAACTCTATATGCAGATATAGTAGCAAAGAACCTAAAATATTGGACATTAGTTTTATCTTTAAGAAAAACATTAAGATAAAACACTATTCAATAAATTATATGGTCACCTCTAGAAGTAACACATCCAAAGCAATAATCTGTAAATAGGTGCCCAAAGTATAGTAATAGAGAATGGCAAAATAGTTAAAGCTTAATAATTATTTTAAACTGAGCCAAACTAAATAATAAAATAATGAAAGGGGAATCTCAGATTTTAATGTCAATAAAATGACTAACAATTCTACATCTGCCCATCACAAAAGTATGCATATTAATTTAGAACATGTGTTTTTTATTATGTAGGATAGCATCATCATCACGAGAACTCTAACCCTTTACAATCACATAATACAGCTGAAATGGTTCTTCTCTTTACCAGAACATGATTATGACAGTCATTAATATCAAATAACTAGTGTTCCTTAACCCAATTTTGTAATTAAGAATCAATCTGATTATTCTAGTTTGGTTTCTCAGATGGAAAGAGTACTTGTAGGAATTCATGAGTCAAATGGACACAAATATTCCAGTCTATTTGGGAGTAAGATTTCCTTTAGTAAATTAACACACTGGAGTTCTGGTTGATATATTAATCTCTTATGGTTGGGGCAATGAGATTCACTTTTTCTCTGTCAGACTATTAGGCAGGCCGACAAAATGATGTTTCACAAATAACAAAACTAAGAACCAGATTTTAGATAATGGTACCACCACCAAAGATTCCCCCACTGAAGTTCTATCGTAAGTGGTTATTTGGCTGCCTAAATGACATCTCTTTATATAATAAACTGTATAAAATTAATATTTACCTTAACATTGAGGGAAAGGTAGAAGCAAACATATGAATAAAACACGTATCAGTATGACTGCATATCCTTCAACACATCTGACCAGTTTTACTTTAACTGTTTCCTACTTTCTGACCTATGAAAGAATGATCTTTGACTGGCATTACTTTCTTCCTATCAGCACTCTCAAAATGCATTTTTATAAAAGATGAATATGTAGATTATAGATTATAATATATATAGATTATAAATTATAGATTAATTCACATATACTTTGCTAAAATAAAACAAAGCAAAGGATATTACATTTTTATATAATGACTATTTGGAATTCAAAGAGGATTCCCAACAAGTTGGGAGTGTAAACACATATGCGTAAATTAAATCCTCAGACTTGCCTCCTTGCTCACAGATATTACCTGGATTTCTATCAAGCTGGGAAGCCAATCTGGTATTTGAATGATCCACTCGTTTTGTACTGAAGAGGAAAAAATAAAATATTTTCAGTAACTTTCTTTACATTTTAAAAATGTTCAATAATTTAGAGTGAGGCAGAAACTATAGAATATAGATGAAATAAATATTGCCACTTTGTGAAAATCTCTGGAGAAAAGTCTATGATTAGTATAATGATAAAACATCTTGGGAAAACACTTTTTAAGGGGAGGATTTTTTCTTTTTATCACCTTAACTACACATAAACATAGCAGTTTTTCCGTTGCACAGTGTGTAGAAAGACATCTATGAGTGTACTGTGAAAAAAAATTGACCAGGATGCAAAAATACATACTGAATATGGTTCTTAAAAATGAAACATTCTTTGCAAGGGGAAGGTACATCTATTAACAGCCAGTGGCACGATGTTCTCTAGAACAGTGGTTCCCAAAATGTAGTCAACAGAATCCAAGACTTTTGGGGATGTTTTCCAGACCAAAACTATTTTCATAATAATACAGAACTGCTATTTGCCATTTTTCACTGTGTTGCCAACTGCACTGATGGTGTAAAGGCAATGGTGGATAAGACTGCTGCTGCCTGAGCATGAATGAAGACAGTGGCACCAATCATACTACTCTTCACTGCCACACTTGCACAATAAAGCAAACAAAACAAAAAATTCAAGTTTTATTTTAAAACATCCCTAATGAAGCAGTAAAAATTATTAATTTTATTAAATCTCAACCCCTTAGTACAGGCCTTTTTAATATTCTGTATGGCAAAAAGAGAAAATACACATAAACCATTTCTGCTCCACTCTGAAGTATAATGATTGTCACAAGTGAAAACATTTTTGCAACTGTTTGAACTGCAAGCTGAACTAGACACTTTTTTTTCTTTGAACACCATTTTTACTTGAATGGTTAATGGAAAAATTTTGAGATCGTTCAGATGGGGGTATTTAACATATTGCACACACACACACACAAAAGAAAGTGAGTCTGTCATTTCAAGAAAAACTGCCCCCATAATATGCCGAAATAAAAAAAAAAAAAAAAAAAGGAAAACTGGCAGTATCTGTTAACAATGATAAAATTCAAGCTTTCACGCAAAAATGAGAATTTTGGAAAACTTATATCCACCACCATGAGCTTGATAGATTCCCAATGCTTAATATTTTTTTGAAATTGGTGTTGATATGAGTGAATGTATTTTTTTAAAACATTACATAATGAAATGTGTCAAAATTTGGAAGATCTTCACTAACCAGTGAACCAATATTTTCCCAATGACCAATAAATAACATTACAAAATTATGCATAGGTAAAACATTCATTCAAAGTATAAGACAGATTACTAAATTTTGATGTAATACGGCTCCAAAAGTTTGTAGATATGGTTTAGATTTCACATTGTAACTAGTTTTAAGAAACTACCATTTCTTGAGGTTTAGTGAAGGAGCAAAGAAAAATACCCACAATTGTCTTAAGAAGCTATTAAAATACTTTTCTTTCCCAACTACATTTCTGTGTGAGGCTGGATTTTCTTCATATGCTTGAACCAAAACAACATATTACAACAGATGGAATGCAGAAGCAGATATGAGAATGCAGCTGTCTTTCAATAAGCCAGACTTTAAAAGATTTGCAAAACTATAAAAACAATGCCACTCTTTTCACTAATTTTTTTTTTTTTAGCAGGAGGGGAAATATAGTTGTTCTTAATTTAAAATGTTATTTATGCTAAAATGTAATAGATATTAATTTAAAAATAACAATAATATTAGTAAAAAAAGGAGCTCCAGCATCAAACAGGTTTGTGGAAATACGGTAGGTTTCTTAGGCATCTTTTACAGACATTCTATGCAAACACAAGCAGATCCTTAGGTTTGTGGAAATACGGTAGTTTCTTAGGCATCTTTTACAGACATTCTATGCAAGCACAAGCAGATCCATTTTTATTTTTAAAAAGACTAGGTGTCTCTATGAAGGAAAAAGGAAGCAGGCAAAATAAAAAAGAGAGACTGGCTTCACTATGTTGTCTTCCTGGAACACAGTGGCTATTCATAGCATTCACAAGTGTGATCAGCGCACACTACAGCCTTGAACTCTTGGTAAAAATATTTAACAGTTTTTGAATTTTTCTTTCTGCTACAGTAAATATTGGTAGAGAAAACCCGTATTTAAAAAACTCTTTGGCACTTCCAATAATTTTTAAGAGTGTAATTTGGTTCTGAAACCAAAAAGTTTAAGAACTGTTGTCACAGAACATTATTTTGGGCTAAAAGTTAGCCTCTAAGAGTAAGATACAAATAACACTGAAAATCACCAAAATGAGAAATAACGTCTGGTTTTAGATAAAGGACCAAAGTAAATATTTCAAGCCCACAAACTAGTTCGTCGTTTAAAAGATGAGATACAGTTTTCACCTGTTAAATATGGTAATGTGTGAAAGTGTAGAGAGAAAAGCAGTGATGGAGATGGCCAGAATTACAAATTTGCACACAAGCTCTTTCTAAATCAATGTGTTAATATATATTAAAAGCCTTTAAAATGTTTATGCTCTACAACTCAGTAATTATACTTTTAGGTATTCTTCCTTACTTAAAATAAAATTTGGAGAGGTTACATACAAAGATGATCACTAAGCATTAAACAGGTAGCCTAAGGAACTAAGTCTAAGTGAAGAAAACACTTCATGCATGAAGACTGTCATTAAAACTTTCTTCACGAAAAAGCAGAAATAACCTATAAAAAGTTTAGCTTTAGAAAGAGCCAGCTATTTCTAAGAAAACTATGAAATAATTCATTGTGACCATTATAAAAACACTGTATAGTATAAAGTTTCAGAGTATTATTAATGTAAAATAATTCTCATAAATATCACCAAAAGAAAAAAGATACAAAAATGAGTATATTCAATCAAAACATTGTTTTAAAATATCTTATGAGTAGATAAAAATAAAAAATAATTTTATCCCCTTCTTTTGTAGTATACAAATTTTTAGTAAAAATATTCATTTCAACACAATCAATTATGAACCATAAATACTTCGAATAATTATACTACCAATAGTTTTTCCTAGTAAAAAAGATTTAAAAATGCCTTTCAAGTGTTTTATTCTACTCACTTATAGTCTCTCTCCCAGAATTTCACAGGTCGAACATATGAAGTGATGAATATTGCACTCCCCAGAAAGGGGTTCAGTGGAGTAGAGAAGAAGGCCGACACAACAGCCTGAATAAACAACATGGCTGAATCTACGGGAAATTGGTTAAGGAAATTAACCTTCATCTCAGCACACACACCCAAAACAAAACACAACACATCACAAAACTCACAAATACATTTAGATTACAGCAATTAGAAAAATGAGGTTCACCAGAAGAATCCCAAGAGAGTGTCACTGGACAGCATAAGGGGCTACCAATAAAAAGACACAACAAAGAAAGTACAACGTGGTATGATGCTTTGAAGGGAGTCAAATAAGTATTTGCTAATGTGTGTTTGGTAAAAGTACATATATCAATCTTGGGAAGAGACAGTTGGGTTCAATTTTCCAAAAGGTTAAAACAAAATTTGCAGACGCTGAAAGTCTGCATTTCAACATCAATGTCATCACTAACCCTTACTGTTATTTAGAAAATACTTTTAAGAAATGACAAGAATAGAAAACTTTGGACAGAGTTTAATTATAATCATATTATTTAAAAAGTGCCAGGTCCTAGCTGGGCGCGGTGGCTCTCGCCTGTAATCCTAGCACTCTGGGAGGCTGAGGCGGGTGGATTGCTCAAGGTCAGGAGTTCCTCGAAACCAGCCTGACCAAGAGTGAGACCCCGTCTCAACTATAAACAGAAAGAAATTAATTGGCCAACTAATATATATAGAAAAACTTAGCCGGGCATGATGGTGCATGCCTGTAGTCCCAGCTACTTGGCCCAGGAGTTTGAGGTTGCTGTGAACTAGGCTGACGCCACAGCACTCACTCTAGCCTGGGAAAACAAAGCGAGACTCTGTCTCAAAAAAAAAAAAAAAAAGTGCCAGGTCTTTATTAAAACTATTTCTAAACATATTTTGTATGCATTAGAAATTAATGAATATTCATATATGAAAACAATTTTAAATTAGCATTACTTAATTATAAAACTTTAATACTTTCCTCATATTCAGATGATCTGTGGGTCACAGATATTAACACAAGTTAAACAATCAAAATCAGTATAGGTGTGGACTCAAAAGAGTATGAATTTTTGATAATTTATTATATAGCTAACTATATTCTATACCTGTAAAAGGTTATGCCTATAAACCAACATTCTCATCAAGGATATGACTGTTCATTCTTATAAACTTTAATCAGAAGGATACGGGGCACTGCAAAGGGCTGAGCGAAAGCATGGAAGGCAGAACCCCATGTAATCTGCCACGGGGCAATATAGGTATACACGAACTGCAGTTTATAAAGGAGTTCCCAAAGCTGTAGGAGAAAAAGTAAAACCATTTGTAAAAAACTTATCATCACATATTTGAATTTGAAATGGAAAACTTGTAAATTGAATTCTCTTCCTAATAGGGAAATGACATTGAAATTATTTGCCATTTGCGTAATAGCAAAAGATATATCAACTACCAAAACACTGCATTTATTTTCCAGTAAAGACACTATTTTTAAGTAAAGACAGCTAGCTGACTTACAGATCTGTGTTTCATCTGTTTAAAACATGCTATGCCCTCTATTGGCCATATATTACTACTACCATAAGCAAAACAAAGAAAGGCAGGAAGCAGCAAAATAACTGTCCTTGAAAAAAAATCTAGATATCTATAAAGCTTAAGTAATACACATATTTATTTTATTCTAACACACATTTTTCCCAAATTTTAGTACTTTGGAAACTGAGTATGTTTTAAATGCAATGTCAAAAGAATGTGAAAATGGCAGTTGCAATATAATTGTCACTGCCAGTTTGCATAAAAATGTAGTTGTGTTTTAGGCATGTGTTGACAACCTCAATTGTTGTCAATACAAACACAGTACACATTTTCATCTTAAAAATTTAAGTTTGGATCTGTTATTGTTGTTGAACATGTCTTCAATACTGAAACAGAATTGCTATGTTTGTCCAAGATTGCTTCTACATGTTAGGCAATACAAAGTCAAATGCTCAAAACAGATCACAGAATCTTAAAAGCAAGAAGTTCTGACTAATTTGGTGCCATGATTTGACAACAAATACCTTATCTCTTAAAATACTTTAGCTGATTTACAAATGAATTTGTTTAACTTCCAATTTAAAAAAGAATCACAACTTCATCTGATTAGAAAAAACAGATGAAGCCCAGTATTCTTTGCCATGACTCAAAATCCTGCTGGCAATCCTTGGTACTAAAGTGATCAAGATCATAGAAGTAAAAGCAGCATTTGTATCACCAAAATGCCATTATAACTACTTAAAAGCACTGACTCAAAAAACCCTTCACATTCTAAATGTGAAACAGACTGTACTCAAATTTTGACTGTGATATTAAGAAAAAAATAGTATGTAATTATGTGGGTAAGTGGTTGGTAGGTAAAAACATTTTTGTATACATTTAATTTTTTCTCAAAAGCTTATTAAATCCATGCTGCATATTACAACAATATCTTAGAATAAAAAATATATCTGAAGAGATCCCTTAAAAATTACTTATTATCACTGTTAAGTTCTAACTACTGTTCATGTAAAATCAAACTCCTTAAGGGGAGAGCTTTCTTTCTTTTGTTCACTGATGTGGCCTAAGCATTTAGAACAGTTCTGGAAAATGGTATGCTCTCAAAAAAATATTTAATAATAAATGAAGGTATTAAGAAAACCCAAACTAATGCAGAGTTAAGTGTAGCAACTATATTTCAAAGATTTAGTTTGTATTTACTACAACTTTCACTTTTTTCTGACCAGTAAAATAAAATACAATTTTTAATCTAAATATTTAAATCTGTGAGAAACTACATGCTTCTTTATACAAACAATTCTCTGATTAACTTTCAGGCTTCCTCTTTTGGTTAATAACCACACTCAGTAAAAGAGGAATCGAATGATAAAACGCACACAAATTAGTGGTTGAACAAATACAATACTAGAATATTTCAGACGCTATTTACCACAATATGGAAAATGACTATCAATGAAACCTTAATCAGGTTAATGGTTTTCCACTTTTACTGTTCCCATCCTAGGTCAGATCTCTATCACATCTAAATTATTGTCACAATCTCTTAAGCTGTTCTCCATACCTTTATGTTCTCTCTTCCCCAATTCATCCCAAATGTGGCTGACCAGGCTAACTTTCCTAAAATTGGATTTTCATTGTGTTTTGTAGCTGTTCATTTGCTTCAGCTCTGTTACCTATCAAATGGGATAATATATGTCAAAGTCCTTTGTATGTGGTCAGTGTTAACATGAAATCTAATTGCTATTTAACTTATAAATAATCTGACTGTACAAACTATTTCATTTAGAAGGGTAGTGTGGTTCAGCAAAAAGATCCTTGGATTGGGAGGCAGAAGACTCAGGTTTTATCAACTCATTTGTAAAGGGCGTAAGAACATCTATCTTACGGATGGAAAACACATTTTTGAAGCGTTCTGTAAACTTAAGAGTATTCTGCAAATGTCACATCAAGCTAATTTCTGATGGCTCCCACCTGGCCAAAGTGTCCTCAACATCTACTGTCTGCATTTGGCTGTCAGGTTACAATCCTCAGCTAGAATTTGCTCCCTCCATCTGTCCAGCAGCCCATAACCCAATTAAATTATTACCAATTCTATTTCTGAAATTATTCAAAACTATACCCTATTTGGAAGATTCTATGTATTTTTAAATATATAGATTATTAATGTTTTTCTAATCTTTCTATGGAACTTAATCTTATCTTCCTATCTATGGCAAAAAATATATCTTTTATGAATCACAGTGACTCACATTGTCTAGGGATTCTAACATGCTCCTAAATAACTGGTTGACTGAAGAGAGGTATTACTTCCTTAAAAGATAATAAACCCAATGAAATATAAGCATAATCTTCATTAAAAAGTGTATTACTTAAAGAGATAATTTTTACAGATAAGGATATTCCTTTCAGCAATAAATTACCTTGTGGAAGAGTATGGACATGAAGAATAGATCCAAAAGCATGGTCTCTGAAAAGGCTTCATAGTCGAATTTGAAAAACAGCACAGTAAAGATAACTGTGACATATTGATATGTAGGGCTGCTAAATGAGGATCGTAGCAACTTCAAACCAGCAATGGTGATCATTAAAGCACCTAATCTATAATAGAAAGAAAGCATGAATCATGAACTCATGACTGAAAACATTAAAAAATTTACTAATTTTAGAAAAATAACCACAGAATTTACTAACCTTACAATATATAGATCAAATTTAAATTTCTAAAAATGATTTATGTAGCTAAGCAAATTAGATCCTGAAAGAATCTTAGTAAAATATTCCCTTTTGTTAGTACGTATTATGATTCTTATCCTTTATATGAACAAGCATATTTTAAAAATAGTGTTGTAAATCTGAAATCTGGTTCTCTAGTTTCCAAATATTCCTACTGCTTTAACATTAATTGTGTCTAGCACATGAAATACATACATTAATGCTTACTCAACATGTACATACTCCAGTGGGTAGTCCCGTAGAATGACCAAGGAGGCAAGTAACCACCTATATAGTATAAAACATAGCCATCTCTCAAACTTGCCATCTAATATTAAAAATTAGCCTTATTAAATAAATATCCTAGGCCGGGCGCTGTGGCTCACGCCTGTAATCCTAGCTCTTGGGAGGCCGAGGCGGGCGGATTGCTCAAGGTCAGGAGTTCAAAACCAGCCTGAGCAAGACCCAGTCTCTACTATAAACAGAAAGAAATTAATTGGCCAATTGATATATATATATATAAAAAATTAGCCGGGCATAGTGGCACATGCCTGTAGTCCCAGCTACTCGGGAGGCTGAGGCAGAAGGATCACTCGAGCCCAGGAGTTTGAGGTTGCTGTGAGCTAGGCTGACGCCACGGCACTCACTCTAGCCTGGACAACAAAGTGAGACTCTGTCTCAAAAAAAAAAAATAATAAATAAATAAATATCCTCTCATAAAATATCAATTGGCAATGAGATGTATGGGGTAGTGAATAAGCCAATGGGAGAAAGAGATTTTTAAAAAAGGGTAAAGACAAAATCTCACCTGAATTTTTAAACTCAGTGCCTTGCTCCAAAAAGACAATGATTATTTGATATTTGATCAATAAACTTTAAAACATTGTTTGTGACAGCCCCCAATAGTCAGGCTTAGAGTTCAGATTATTGTACTTACTCTGTATCCAATTTTTTTGGACTAGCAATTTTCTCTGCACTGCTACTAAGTTCATTAAGAACAATCAATGGATAGATGATATTCTTTTCCACAAAAAGAAGCCACACATGAAGTTTCTCAAACCACATCATAGTGGCTGCATCTAATAGGGCAATATAAGAAGACCACATGTCATCTAACATATACAGTAGTTTAGGTAATGTGATGAGAGGGGAAAATCTTACAACTTAAATTTAGTTCTATACTATGAATTAAAATGTAAAGAATCCAGTACTTGAATTGTCAACTCCTATGAGCTTTGAAACACTTAAAAATATGCAACTTAGATATGACTTATATTTACATGAATTGAAGCTTTAATTCTTAAAACCTCAGTTCTTAACCATAACTTTTCTCATTTATGTTTACAACTTGTGGAGAAAAGGATACTGATTATTAGACTGCTACACCCCCCCAAATAAATGATCTACTAAATAATCTGTTTTTAAAATGCTAAGATACATATACATAGATGCAAACATATATACATATGATAAACTATCTCAGAATATAAATATATGCTATGATTTGAATTCACATACTTCATAAAAGTCATTTTCATTGCCAATAATATATTTTCTAATACTTCAATATTATTTTATTCAGGAAAGTGTCTGGGATAAAATAAAACACTTAAAACACGGTTTTTCGGCTATTTGAAAACAGTCACCTACCTAGAAGTTCTTTTGGAAGTTCTCTAATGAATAATTTTTTTTTTCAATTGCTAAAATCAGTATGATGAAAAAAAATCAACTTTGCTATTATCTAGTACTATTAATATGTCAAAAATGTTATGATTCAAAATTTTTAAAAATTTAGACTAAATGTTCTGTAAAGATCAAAAATAAACAATATAATTAATAATTTAATGAAAACTGCTGATCTTTATAACAAACTAGATATACTTGCTATCATTATTATATGAAAACAATACTATTAGTTCACTGTCAAAAAAATTCTCATACTGGGTTATTTTCTTGATGGTAGAAATGGGCCAGTACATATTCTTACACAGTTTCATGTCATTTTTCCTTATTAAATGAACATGAATTTTGTAAAAGGTCTACTAGAATTATTACTGCAACCTACAAATTACTATTTATCTCTCCAAGATTAAACTGGTAATCAAGATTACAGTAACATGATGTTTCAATCAATTTCACTAAAAGGCCTAGGAAATTTGCTTTGTGAATGCAATTGAGTAATTTACTCTTTTTACAGTAATTCACTAACCGCAGGAAAAGTCTGAGGGAAAAAAATTGGCTTATTTAAGCACTGGCATACAATAAATGATGACATAGGTATGAACTTTTATTATTTCTCTAAAATGAGGACGTATATTATATTACAGGTCATGGGGCTAATGAACAAGAACTGAATACTTAACAACAGGCAAGAAAAGTCAGGGTTTGCAGTGGCAAGGAAGAAGGCTGCCCAGTGGACTGGCCTTCTATTTCTCTCTGAGTCACTTTTATACTTCATCCCAAATCTGAACTAATAACTGCAATTACAAAATGTTTTAACTTCTTTGCACTTTATAAATTCTTTTATACTCCTCTCTTGTAGGACATAGTGTCTCTGGTAGAAACAGGAGCAAAGACTTTTCTTTTCTCCCTGTGATTTAAGGATTGGGTTGCCTGTAGATGACAACAACGAAAAACCTTATTGGGGAAAGTGGAGGGACATGACAGAGAAGTCATAGACACACACGAGGAGTCACCAATGAGACATCTGTGAAGACCAATTTAGAGAAGAAAGAATTAAGATTTTTCTGTGGAAAATTGGCATTGTAGGACTCACATTTATACTCCAGCTGAAATTAAAGCATCCTGCAGAAGATTTGATTCATTTACAGCTTGAAAACTAAGTATAATACGTACAAGCAAAGTGTTTCTTGATGATACTTATTGAACTCAGCACATATTGAATAGTCAGCATAATAAGGGAAAAAGTCATAGTATTAAAAGGAAGAGTGCTAATGAAATACTTACTTCGAACTTCATATTGGTTATACTCCACTGTTTTTAGCAGAGGATGAGAGAAACAGTGCCACGGTAGTTGTTTTCTAACTTGAGGCAGTACATAATGAGTTACAAACCCCACAAAGCCAACCAGTGAATACAACACATACTTGAGAGCAGGCTAAAAAAATAGTACATAAAATTGAAAAAATTAGGAGTGACTTTGAGAATCATAGAACTACAAATCTGTCAGTTTAGTTTTCCCTTTGATAATGAAGAGCAAAAATAATTTTAGAATTTAAAAACCAAACATTTTTCTACAGTTAACATTTTTATATTATACATTTTTTCTGATTAAATCAGCCTTGAAAGTTAGTGGCTGTTCATATATCACAGATACTATAAAATGCATTAACTACTTTCTTTGGCGTCTCACACTATTTGTATAATGAGAGAGTGGCCTGAGTTATACTGTTTTCTACTGTAAGAATGTTCTACACGACATTCAATCGTTTCTCAGCCTTTTGGCTAAGATCAAGTGTAGAATGTTCTACATGACATTCAGAGCAACATATTGTTTTAAATAGTAAAGATAAAGGACATGGATTATGGTAGGATCTGCCTGGAACAGTCAACTGTATATACCGGTTCACAGAACATGGCTTAGCACACAGCTACATGCCTGACCCAAGGTGTGGAGGCCCAGGCACCCTAGAGCCACTAGCCTCAGTCACTGAGGTGGTATCATCCATGGGTATCGCTGATGAACACATCATAGCCACCAAGAGCCCAACCTCTTTCCTGCCACCCTTCACGCTTCCCAGGAGAGCCATCTGCTCCTTCCTCAACTACACAGCCAATTATAACAGGGCCTAGGGCTTGATGCACACCTGTGTAAGCACACAGGGCAGAGACCATTTATTTGTGACTACAAAGGGTATGGAAGGCTTTCAGCAGGGACAATCATCTGAGTCACCACATCCTGACTCATATTGAAGAAGAGCCATTCGTTAGAAGCATAACACATCTTAAAATTTCTCTTCTCTACTACCACCAACACCCAAGCATATCAACTGGAGGCCCAAGAACTGGCCCACCTGGACCCAATACCACCAGTGCTCATGTATGCTGCCCAGCAGCCTGAGGACTAGCACACCCAACCTATTGCTGCCACCACTAGTGCCCGAGGACAGTCCACCAAGCATCCTTATCCCAAGCAAAGCCTTGCCACTGCCTCCATTAACAAACACCGCCTCAGCCAATGAGGAACTCAAAGACACCACTGACACTAAATACAGCCTTAGAAATCACAGGGACACATTAGTGTACCCACCCAGAAGCAAAGCCAATGCATCCTCCCCAACCAACATCATAGATACATCTACAGGAAAAACTCTTTCCCTAAAAAAGACAATCCATAAAATTGGAAAAAGCAACTGTTACAAATCATGAAAAGATATCATGATGAGGACACAAGAAACATAAAAAGGCAAGAAAATGTGACACCTCCAAAGAAACATAATAATTCTCCAATGAAAGGAATATTTCCCCAAAAAAGGAAATATATTAAATGCCTAGAAAGGATTCAAAATAATGATATTGAGGAAATTCAGTGAGATACAAGAGAACACAGATAAATAATACAAAGAAATCAGGAAAAAAATCATGATCTAAGTGAGAATGTCAACAAAGAGATATAAAAAAGAACCAAACAGAAATTCTGTAACTGAAGAATTCAATGAGTGAAATAAAATATAATTAAGAGCGCCAACAATAGACTAGACCAAGAAGAATGAACTTCTACATTTGAACACAAGTCTTTTGAAATAACCAAACAGTAAAAAAAAAAAAAAAAAAAGGATAAAAAATAAAGAAAGCCTACACGATATATGCAACACTATAAAACTAGCAGATATTCAAAATTTGTCCAAATGGAGAAGAAATGGACAAAGGAATAGAAGGATTACTCAATGAAATAATGGCTGAAAGCTTCCAAGTCTTGCAAGAGATATAGACAAGATACAAGAAGCTCAAAGATTCCCAAATATTATAAGTGGCCCACACAGGTCTTCTCCAAGGCACATTATAGTCAAATTGTCAAAAGTCAAGGACAAAGACAGAATTCTAAAAATAGCAATAGAAAAGCATCAAGTCACATACAAGAGAATGACCATCATACTAACAGCATATTTTTCAGCAGAAACCTTACAAACCATATGGAGATACAGATCTACACAAAAGAATGGGGGAGCACCACACATGGTAATTATATGACCTATAGATGAGAGGAACTTTGCTTGAGGAACTGTCCATAGGGAACAACACCCAACGAGCCTCACCCATTCCTGAACCTTTAGATGATAAGGTTCTAGACCTCCAACTGTATTGGAATGAGACTTTTAGGGGTTTTAGGAGAGGAAAAGTGCATTTTGCCTATGGCAGGATGTCAATCACTAAGGCCAGAGGGTGAGCTGTGGTAGTCAGCCTCTGAAATGGTCCCCATGATCCTTGCCTCCTGGTGTTTACACTTGTATATATTCTCTTCCCACAATGTGCCATAGTTGATCTAAGTTACCAATAGAATGTGGAAGGAGTGGTGGGATGTCACTTCCAATATCAGATTATAAGGGAGTGCAGCTTCTGTCTTGGGCTTTCTGTCTCAAGGGTCACTTGCACTGGTAGAAATCTGCTGTCATTTTGTGGTGACACTCAGGCAGTGAGCATATGGTGAGAACCACATGGAGGGGAACTGAGGTCTCTGGCCAACAGTCAGAAGAAACTGAGGCCTGCAAATAATGAGCTTCAGATGACTACAGCATCATGAAAGATCCTGAGCTAGAATCATCCAGATAAGCCAACTCCAGATTCATGGCTCAGAGAAACCATGAGAAAATAAATATTTTTTTGATAAAACCAAATAAAAAGTCACATATTTATTTCAGCATTATGGACAAACATTATAATCAGATTAGAAATGAGTCCAAAGTTATAGTCATGCATCGCTTAGAAACAGGGACATTCTGAGACTATGCTAGGTGATTTCATCATTATACAAACATCAGAGTGTACTTACACAAACCTACCTAGTGTAGCCTACTACACACCTTGGCTTATGGTATAGCTTATTGCTCCTAGGTGACAAACAGGTACAGTGTGTTACTGTACTGAACACAGTAGGCAACTGTAATACAACATAAGTATTTATGTATCTAACCATAGCAAATGTACAGTTAAAGTATGGTATAAAATATTTAAAAATGGTACACAAATAAGACAGTTGGATTATAATCTTATGGGACCACCGTCATATATGTAGTCTGTACTTGACTGAAATGTTGTTATGCAGTGCAAGACTGTATTTTCCCCCAATTAAAAGAACAAAATCATTCTTTACCTGCAATGCTGTGAAGACTGTGCTTACATGAATAGCAAAATATAGCACACCAATTACAATGCATACTACTAGGTCAGACTGTAAACGCTCACCCTGTTGGGAAAAAAAAAAGAATTACCAATTACATTAAAATTCTTAAAAATCTTTCCTTTATTCCCAACCAGCAAAGTTTAAGAAATAATTTTTCATTGATACTCTTTAAACTTCTGAATATTTCTTAAACATAATAATTAAAAACAATAAATATTACTTTCTTCCTCAATTTCCTCATATTTTGGTATTATACTGCAATACAAAGGAAACCAAACAACTTACCTAGCTCTGCTAGCTGTATAACATATTGCAAGTATAATGAAGATTTTATTCCCCTATTGGTCTGTAAGTTTAACTTTTACATAGAGGAAAAGGATATAAGTTGCTGTAACATTTTTTAGTTTTTTTGTTTTAGACCAGTTTTCACTACATTGCCCAGGCTAGAGTGCCATGGCTATTCACAAGAGTGATCATAGCATATTATAGCCCAGAACTCCTGGGCTCAAGCAATCCTCCTGCCTCAGCTTACCAAATACACAGGACTATACAATGTGCTACTGTGCCTAGCCATAGTGTCATTCATAGAGGTATATCCCTTTGGATAAGTTATGTTTTCATTGGTCTTTTAAAACATTAAAACTATATGTATATGTCACATTTTACTTACTAGATTTTGGTTCTTTCAGTGGTTATAGCAAAAATCAGAAACCTCAATATCTTTGGTTATCAGTTGATCCATTAGGTTTGCGCTTATAAGCTAGATTCAGATTATATTACTGTATTTAATGTGAAATATGCTTTGCTAACACAGAAACTAAAGTCAGAAAAAAAGTTTAAATTATATCTTGAGGTAGTTTTGTATATCTAAAGTTTTCTAAAGAATATGTAAATAGCTCAAGTTCACTGAAAGTAAATGTTATCTCTCATTCAACTCATATACATTTAGTTTTTCAGAAATAATCTAAAATAAATCTGATAAAAGAATGTTTTATATTTTATTCTGTAAAACAGACATGAATCTATAGAATTCATTTTTCAAACAACGACTAAAAGAATACAGGCAAAATTATAATTTACTAAATTACAAATTTTTAAAAATTATTAAATTTACTTAACTATATTACATTAATACAGGTTACTGTTCTTTCTGTTCAAACTGAGAAACGCACAAACTTTCAGACTGCTCTTGAGAAATAAAACATTCTAAAAGACTAGTAAATGATGTATAAAGACATAGTTTTTATCAATAAGAACAATAACAACAAAATAAATGTAATTTATGTTAAATACTGATCTTTCAGATCCTAGTCTAAACTGACTAGGAATAAAAATCCTATGACCATTGAAATTACTTAATTTCACCTGACCTAAAAATAAATGTTTCACATATTGTTCTACATAGAAACCAAGTTTGAGGAATGAGCATTTCTTACAAGTTAAAATTTGGAATAAAGGCAATCAACAACATATAACTAATTGTATTAAATATAACTATATATATTTTTCCCTCAATTATTAAAAACTTCCCAAAAGTGTTCATTTTATAGCATGATCAATTATCTAAAATTTAAATCTTTTTTGGTGATTCTAAAAGCTAAAACTTACAACAGAATTTCTAAGTTTTTCAGGCAGTGGATCTTTTACTTCAGACAGAGGGTCTTCTGGATTTTTCTCTTCTGTTTTTGGAAAAATCTTGGATTGCACCAAAGAACTTTACATTAAAAAAATTAAGAGAAAATAATTAATAGAAAATACACATATAATCTGAAAGCCAGTAATGCAAATGGCAAATAAAGATGACAGAAAACCAAGTAATCCAAATATATTTAATCATTAACAAATGATAAATTCCAAAATGTTTAAGATATCATAAATAAGCATACTGTGAAAATATTTTTAATAAAATATACTTTCAATGTTTGGGAGGGAAAAACCTAACAAACACTGGTCAGAATGACTCGAAGTTAATGTATTTTCAAATCTAATATAGATTAAGCCAATGGCACTTTGGAAAGGCATTGGGAAAACGGTATCTTGGAAGTTATTTGAAGGAAATGCTGACGTATTTAAATTTCTTTAATTCAGTAACAATTAATTTCACTTACAAAAGTACAGATGGATCACTGCTTTGTCGACTGAGATGATAGGATACTGCCACTAACAAACCACAAAAAATGGAGAAAAGTACTGGAATATGCTGGCCATCCCAAGAATCCTATTAAAAAAAAATTTAACAGAATAATATGCTTCTAATTTATAATCTGTCATATACCTTTTATGTCTGTATTGGCAGAAAACAAAGAAATCAAATTCAACAAAAAATGTTAGCCACATTATTAATTGCATTGTATTCCAGAAAAATTTAGACTTATTATTTTCTGATGAGCTAGAATCTAGCTTCTAGGTTTCTTTTGGTACTAAAGCTTCAGATTTCTTCAGGTAATAAAGCTCTATTCATACGGTAGGAATATTTTGCTTCTGATGCATGTTGCTACAAGTTCTTTCAGATTTTAAGTGGTATTAATTTTACAGTAAAATACGTACTCCTTTTAGAAGAATAAAATAACAATATGTAAATATTGTATATTGTTATATATAATAATGGAGTAGGAAAAATCAACATATGATATAACAAATTAAGCAAAAGGAAAGGTTGATATTTGGTGTGCTACTTTCTTGATGTCTTGCTCATGTGCTATACTATTACATCCTCCACAGCCCTGAGCAGGCATTCAGTAACCGTTTCCTAAATGAATGACGGCATATTCCCAGAAGGAAATAATATAAATGCTAGCTTTCAAGGCCAATGAACAGGTGGCTATGCCATGTTGGCTCTTCTCGCTGTAGTATCTTTAAGGTCTATTAGCATAAAAGGTGGCATAGAGTGAATCATTCTGTTAACAGGAATAGTTAAGGGTGCTTAAGTATGTTCTGTGAGGTTGACACCATTCTAATCCTTTGTCTTTCTCTGGGGATTTGGAAAGGAAAAATTGTATCAGTAGGGAGCTAAATGGCAGTTTTTAATAAAATTTGCCCTTTTTCCCCCCCACTTAAAAATAGTCACAACATAAACATTTTTGATTCCTAAATCAAAACCTGATTATCATCATATTGAATAGTGTTTGTAGACACACATTCTTAGATCTTTGTAAGTATTCCCTAAATAATTTTTACAACTCCTGGAAATATGTACTCCCCAATTCATAGAGGAAAAAGCTAAGACACAGAAGGCTTAAGTAATTTGTCCAGTTAGGTGGTAAAGCCAGAAAGTGAACCCCTCACAAGTCTGAAATGCACTGAAAAAAAAGTTAAACATGTCAAGAGTTTAAGAATGAGAAAGAAATAAATATATAAGAAAGCAAAGGAGAAAACAAAATATAGGTAGGAAGAGCATTTGCATAGTGATAATAAGGTAAACATATCAGGTACAGGTGGGAGAGAAGAGAGGCTGTTTATGTGGTGGAGGCTGGGGTAGGGAGACAGAAAGTCAAGCCTACAATTTCCATAAAGGGTAGTCCATTGAGACTGCTTAAAACTTAAGAAAATACCAGAAGTAGAAATAAAAGCTATGTAGACATTTTACTCTCAACTGTTTGAGCTGATTCTTTTGGTATCTCCACATATCTACATATGTATCCTTTCTTGTCATTTTAACAATGTTCACAGCATCTCCACCAGGAACCAGTTCCATCACCAGAAACCATTTTCTTTGCTCATCCGTAAGAACCAACTCCTCATCCATTCAAGTTTTACCATAAGATTGCAACAATTCAGTCACATCTTCAGGCTCTACTTATAATTCTAGTTCTCTTGCTGTTTCCACCACATCTGCAGTTACTTTCTCCACTGAAGTCTTAAACCCTTCAAAGTCATCCCTGAATGAGGAGGGCGGGAATCAACTTCTTCCAAACTCCCGTGAATGTTGATAGTTTGACCTCCTCTCATGGGTCATGAATGTGCTTAATGGCTTCTAGAATGGTGATTCTTCTCCAGAAAGTTTTCAATTTACTTTTCCCAGATTCATCAGAAGAAAATCACTGCCTATGGTAGCTATGGCCATATAGCCATATGAAATATTTCTTAATTAATAAGACTACATAGTCAAAATTATTCCTTGATCCATGGGCTACAGAATGAATGTGTGTTAGCAGGCATGAAAACAATATTAATCTGCTTGTACTTCTCCATCAGCACTCTTGGGTGACTTGGTGCATTGTCAATGAACAGTAATATTTTGAAATGAATCTTTTTTTAGGAGCAACAGGTCTCAACAGTGTGCTTAAATAATCCAGCAAACTATGTTCTAAAACAGATGTGCTATCATTCAGGCTTTATTGTTTCATTCAGAGAGTACAGGCATAGGAGATTTAGCCAAATTCTTAAAGGCCCTAGGATTTTCAGAATGATAAATGAACATTGGCTTCAATCTAAACTCACCAGCTGCATTAGCCCCTACCAAAAGTGAAGTCAGCCTGTGAGGCAGGAAGATTACTTAAACTCAGGAGTCTGAGGTTGCTGTGAGACAGGCTGATGCCATGGCACTCTAGCCTGGGCAACAGAGTAAGACCCTGTCTCAAAGAAAAAATAATAATAATAATAAAATTTAAAATAAAGAAAGAAAAGGATAGGTTCCCCCTGGGAGTGCTTGTCAAAAGAGAGAGAGAGAGAGAGAGAGAGAGAGAGAGAGAGAGAGAGAGTGTCAGCCTATCCTTTGAAGTCAGGCATTGACTTCTCTCTAGTTGTGAAAGTCCTAAATGGCATCTTCTTCCAGTAAAAAGCTGTTAACAATGATCTTAGCTAGATTTTCTAGATAACTTGCTGCAGCTTCCACATCCGCACTTGCTGGTTCACTTTGAACTTTTATGTTACGGAGACATAAGGTTACGGAGGTTATGTTATGGAGACCTAAGGTTATGTTACAGAGACATAAGGTTAAACCTTATGAACCAACCTCTACCAGGTTCCAACTTTTCTTCTGCAGCTTCCTCACCTCTCTCAGCCTTCACAGAATTGAAGAGATTTAGGGCCTTGCTCTGAATTTGGCTTTGGCTTAAGAGAACATTGTAGCTGGTTTGCTCTTCTATCCAGACCACTCAGACTTTCTCCATACCAGCAATAAGACTGTTGTGTCTTCTTATTATTTGTGTGTTCACTAGAGTAGCACTTTTAATTTCCTTCAAGAGCTTTTCCTTTGCATTCACAATTTTGATAACTCTTTGGCACAAGATGCCTCACTCTGTCCTATCTTGACTTTCAACATGATTTCTACACTAAGCTTAATGTCTAGCTTTTGATTTAAAGTAAAAGACATACAACTCTTCCTTCCAGTGGTGCAAAGGCAATATATGTAACCAAAGTGTTTGTACCCCCTGAATTTTTTGTACCCCCCCCCCAAATTTTTTAATATTCTGAAATTAAAATAAAAAACAAACAGTTCCTTTCACTTGAATACTTACAGGCTATTGCAAGGTTAGTAAATGGCCTAATTTCAATATAGTCTATCTCAGAGAATAGGGAACCCTTAGGAGAGGGAGAGAGATGAGGGAACAGCCAGTTGGTGGAGCAGTCAGAACACACACAACATTGATCTATTAATTTCACCTTCATTTATACAGATGCGGTTCCTAGTGCCCCAAAACAATTACAATAACAACATCAAAGATCACTAATCACAAATCACCATAACAGATATAATAATAATGAAGCATTGGGAGAGTTACCAAAATGTGATACAGAGACACAAAGTAAGCATACAGTATTGGAAAAGTGGCACCTACAGACTTGGCTCAATATAGGGTGGCCACAAAAATTCAATTTGTTAAAAACACAATATCTGAGAAGCACAATAAAGTGACACACAATAAAATGCAGTAAGCCTGTACATAATCTCTGCTCGTGCATACATCTATAGTTTTATTACATTATAATGAGTCATATTTAAAACTAAAATTGTCTAACGCAAATGCCATGCCATAGAAAAAAGGAAAAAACATTTACCTTCCTGCCCACCTTAGGACACAGGAATCTAGTTGGCAGTTTTAAAATTGCTGCCGTTCTTCTATATAGTTGAATAGGCCTTTCTAAACTAGGCTAGAAAACTTACTGCACTTGCTAACTTCTATAACTACAATTTTCAAATAATGATTCACTTTCCAAAACATGACTCTAACACCTTTAGCCAGGTTGGTTTATAGGTGGGAGAAGCCTGGATTTGGATCTTAGTGCCTCCAGTTCTTTACTGGGCTTACCTCCACTGATTATATTCCTTCTACTAAAGTTTTCCTCCTCACTTTTTAAATGCAGTCTAGTCTCGGGGCTTTTTAAAAAACAAAGACCAGAAAGCAACTCCCATTATGTGTATATGTGTGTATCCCTCAACTATATTCTAGAAAGAGTAGAATACATTTCCTTATTATACATTCAAACCTGAACTTATATTAATCTGGTTTCCTTAACCAAAACACCAAAGAAGCTGCTTTTGTTAAGTCACCGATATCCTATTAACTGCAAAATTCAACAAAAACCTTTTTCAGACTCTATTGCCTCTGAAATTTCCTTCATTTGTTTCTGCTGTAACCAATACTTCAACATTGGCATTTCCCAGGGTTCTTTCCCCATCCATTTTCTCTTGTCAATCCACATTAACAGTATTTTCTTACACTTTATTGAATTTTGTTCATGACTTCCAAATCTATGACTTAAACCTCTCTGCATATAATTATCTACTATGCATCTCTGGATACCTCATAAATATCAACAAATAAATTATAAAATGTAAACAATCACCTTCCTCAACAAACTCAAAGGTTTCTAATCTTGTACATTAGCACCATTTCCTAACCAGTTGTTCAAACCAGATCCTACCCAGAAATCATCCTGGACCATATTCTGGCTTTTTTCTCTTTATCCAGATAGTTCCCTAATATATTCATGGAATGCAATTTTAGATAAGTCCCTCTGATTTCAACATTATACCACAACAGTCTCCCTACTTTGATCTCTCCTGCTTAGACTTCAATCTACTTCACAATGGAGACCAGTTATCTTTCTAAAATGCAATTCTTATCATTTCCTTGCTCTAACTCAAATACATTGATGATTTTCCATCTTCACCCCACCACATTTAGGATAAAAGATATCTCATAATCCAGCCTTTGCTTTCCTTTCCAGTCTTTTCTAAGGCTGTCTTACCTTATGAACCCAAACCTCCAGCAATTCCAAATTATTTACTATTTCCTCTACACAACCCATTTTCTTCAAAACTCCATAGCTCTTCATTCCTTGTTTTAATTAGCTAATGTCTATTTGGCCTTCAAAATTTGGTGAAAATCATCCCCTTAGAAAATTGTTTTAAATCCCTTTCAGCTGAATAAAGTAGTCTTGATTTGTATACCCATAGCACTGTCCTCGTAACCTTCATAACCCTGTACTGAACATGCTGATTGACTTATTAATCATAGCTAATCTATCAGTCCTTAAAAGCAGAAAATGGCTCTTAGCATAATACCTGGCACACAATAAGTGCTCTATAAATTCTACTTTATATATGAGGCAACGAAGGACATTGTGAGTCACTTTCATAGTCCTTTCAAGCCTACCATTCTGATTATCTTGCATTAATCACAAAACAAAACCCAAAAAAACCCCAGAAGTATGTGTCAGGGGTTAAAAGTTGTCTATAAAAAATTTTTAATTTTCATGTTTATGATTTGATGACAACCTTTTAAAAGGGAGCTCATAAAGCTCATCCAGATCCTTCTAACCCAATAATGACATTCAATTCCAGTGTATTAATTTTTACTAGCAGGTGTCTTAAATTGTAGCTCTTGAACTTACACGTTTCAAGACCTTGATATGAAAAGTGGTTACATAAACTCTTAACTAGAAATGTGAAATTAATTTCATATTCTATAATTACCATGCCCACCCCTATACCAGATAAGCCTAGTTTTTAATAATCTATTTCTAATATTAACCTATGATTGCTGCATTAAAATAATATTCTTTAATAATGGTTAACTATTAAATTGCTTCCACATTCAATGTAAATGAGAATAAATATAATGTTCATCATATGAAAATCATGGAAATTAATGCTAAAGTGGCACCAGGAAAAAAAATCATTATTAGTCAATTTTAAAAAAATCTTCATATGGAAATATAGTCTTAAACACAAAACATTCTATAGTTTAGTGCTCACCTTTAAAGCTCCATAACACAATCCATATAATAAGGCTACTGCCACGATGCTGCAGATAAAACTGTAAAGTGCTGCAAGTAGGCTTGTAGTGGCTAGACGGTAAAGGAAAAAAAATTAGTATTTTATAAACATCTATGAAAAAAAAAGTATAAGGTCACCAAAAAGCATTTAAAATGTTATATAATGTTGACTAAATATCTACTCATTTTATTTTTTAAAATTCTGTTATTTCGGCCAGGTGCTGTGGCTCACACCTGTAATCCTAGCTCTTGGGAGGCCGAGGCGGGCGGATTGCTCAAGGTCAGGAGTTCAAAACCAGCCTGAGCAAGAGCGAGACCCCGTCTCTACTATAAATAGAAAGAAATTAATTGGCCAGCTGATATATATATAAAAAATTAGCCGGGCATGGTGGAGCATGCCTGTAGTCCCAGCTACCCGGGAGGCTGAGGCAGAAGGATCACTCGAGCCCAGGAGTTTGAGGTTGCTGTGAGCTAGGCTGACGCCACGGCACTCACTCTAGCCTGGGCAACAAAGCGAGACTCTGTCTCAAAAAAAAAAAAAAAAAAAATTCTGTTATTTCATCCTGTATTTTCAGAAGATCTTGACATGACAGATTTGCTATCCTTCATCTTTGTCACAGTATAAAACATATTCACCTTAGAAGTAATGAACATTTATACATAGCAGAAAAAAATTATACCTATATGATGCTTCAAGAATGTATCTTAGGCCGTGCATGCTGTGGCTCACTCCTGTAATCCTAGCACTCCAGAAGGCCAACGTGGGAGAACTGCTTGAGCTCAGGAGTTCAAGACCAGCCTGAGCAAAAGTGAGACCCCATTTCTACTAAAAAATAGAAAAATTAGCCAAGCATCATGGCATGTACCTATAGCCTCAGCTACTCAGGAGGCTGAGGCAGGAGGATCACTTGAGCCCAGGAGTTTGAGGCTGCAATGAGCTATGATGACGCTAATGCACTATATCCAGGATGACAGAGCAAGACTGTCTCAAGGAAAAAAAAAAGAATGCATCTTATATTGATAAAAAATATTTTAAAAATGAAGCTTTCAGAGGCCTAAAAAAGAACTGGAGATGTAGTAAGTATTCACTGAAAAATATTTGAACTTCTATCACCCACAGAAGTAAACCTGTATTCCCATGTGTTAATTTTCACAAAAAAGTACAGATCTGACTAATTATAAACAATAATAACAGCAAAAACTAGATCCAATAGGATTATTAGTAATAAGGAAGAGGAGATGGCTAAGATAGCTAGATTTTATTTGTAAAACATTTTAACAGATTTTCTTTAATGGTAATTTTATATGATGATCATGTCTATTTGTGATAATCTTTTATAAATATCTCATAAGTTTATACAAGTTCCATGTAAATTCATTATAACTTTTTGTTTCACACTTTTTATCACTGCTTACACATCTACTCCATTATTCCTGGATCTTTCACTAAAACACTTTTTCCTATTTGCAAATTAATTGTTCCTCAATTTTCAATTATTAAATGTCTTTTCTTCTAATTTCGATTCTAAATTGCAAACTAGAAAAGCATTTTAATGTTAAGCATATTACCACATTATCTGTAAAAAGTAATATATAATTTTTATAAAGAAATACTCACCATTACCACCAAAGATATGAATATCCAATTGTTCACAAAGGTACATTACAAATGTATTCACCTGAGGCAGGAGACCAATGAAAAATACTATTGGGAAACAGAGTGTAAACACTATAGAAGGAAAGAAAAGTATGTTAAAAAATATTATACTGTTTCCATCTTTTGTTCATTGAAAGATCATAAGTGATGAAAAAGAATCCAAAATTAACATCAACTACTAAGCAATTTTTAAAATATATTTTATTTATCTTGACACGATTATCTGCGTATTAAATATTTTCAACCTATAAACACCTTTTAAAATTATTTCAACCATTTTCACATAATAGGAACCTAAGATAAAGAATCCAAGAAAACCTTTCCATTGCATCTGCTTCAAGAACAGAATTACTATAATATTTGTTATTTATTAGCTTTTTTCATTCATCATAGCCCTATAGTTTTGTTCCTCAGAGAGAATTACAATAAATAGCAAAACAAGCTTATTAAGGCTATTTTTATCTATTTAATTGATGTTTATCACTTAACTGTTGATATAGAAATAAATATTAAGATTAGATACTAAAAGATGACTCACCTATAACTAAATCCCTGGCTGATATAAACACCAGTGGATTGGTGAAAGTTATTCCATATAATTTGAACTTGTTTGCAGTCAGGTTTCTGCTACCATAATCCAAGAGCCAAATAAGACCGCAACATAAGCAGAAATAAACTGGTCTACTGTAGGCAATGATACGATTATGACCCTGAAAATGACATTTTTTAAAAAGTCAGATTAGTTAATTTTAAGTGTCAAAACTAGCTATTGAGATCATTGATGGTTTATATTCTAAAGGATTTAAAATTTTCCCATATGGAAGCCAGGTTTCTGACAGTCACAGAAAGAAACGGCACAGAAAGGAGGAAGAACAGAATAAACTGTGACACTGAATTAAAATTAGAGGTATGAGTATGAACTCATTATTTTAAATATGCAAATACATAGATATAAGAATAGATAATACCTAGAAGCAACGACATTCTAGTAATAAAGATTACTGGCATCTAGAACTTAGTTTGCAAATACCATTATTCATACACAAAACACCAGGGATCCACAGAGAAAAGGCCAGTTTCATGCTAGGGTAGGTAAAGTATAAGCTGAACCTGGAACATAGTGTTGTGACAAAACATAAGAAGTACTTAAAGAATGACAGATACTTCACAAGGACACAGAAGGCAGCTTGATGGACTCCCAGTGGCCCAATCAAAGATAATTTGAGCACTGAAATAAATAATATTAGTAATATAGTCTACTGAATAAAATAATCCATTTATATACACTAATACATACACTCATACATACATACATAAGCAGAAGGGAAAAGTCTTCCTTACAGTAAAAAGTCAACTAACATATGTAGAAGGAATCATGGAATTAGAAAATCATTATTTGGCAACCATCAAATGATAAGTGAATCAGGCAAGAAACATCAGCAGGGAGTAAAGCAAGTGGATAGAAGTTTATAGCATAGCAAGACATATAGACACTCTCCAAATATCACCCTATGAGATATGTGATACACACCTATATGAGAGACAAGAGAAAAACAATAACATTACAGTAGAGTAATGGCTCTTAAGGAAAAGGGAGTTTTGCTCCCCAGGGGACATTTGGCAATGTCTGGACACATTCTGTTGTCACACTTGGGGCAGTGGCGCTACTAGCATCCAGTGGGTAGAAGCCAGAGAGGATGCTAAACATCCTACAATGCATAGGACAGTACCCACCCATCTCCAACAAAGGATCATCTAGCCCGAAATGTTAACACTGCAGAGATTTACCAAAAGATCAAAGTTAAAATCACTAGTTATAGGACAAATCAACATGTGTTTCCTCCTCATATCACCTACTGAGTAGAACACATCACTTTTGTAGAATTCCTACCAAAAAAGTGTGGCCTGTATCAAATCAGAAAGAAACATGAGACAAACTCAAATTGAGAGATAGTCTATAAAGTTTGTGGCCTGTATCCATCAAATATTTTAATATCATGAAAGACAAATACTGAAGAATTGCTCCAGATTAAAGGAGATTCAAGAGACCAAACATAAGCAGGAACTTTCTATTGCCAATTGAGTCAATGGGCAAAACCTGAATTAAGATCTATGAATTAGAAAATAGTACTGTATCAATGTTAATGTTGTAATTTTGATAATTACATTAAAGTAATGTAAAGAAATGCCTTTGTTTCTAGGAAACATACACTGAGATATTTAGAGATAAAGAAGCATGATGTCTGCAAATAGAGAGAGACAAAGAGATAGATTATGTGCTTGAAAACGATTAAGCAAATATGGTAAAATGTTAACACAGAGAATCTGGGTGAACATTATCTGGATTTCTTTGTACTACCTTTGCAACTTTTCTCTAAGTCTGAAATTATATCAAAATAAAAAGTTAAAAGCAATGCCTCCGTACATCATTATATTTCAAAAACATTCTTATAAAATAATAAACGCATCAGTCAAAAGAAAATCATTTACCTCTTTTTATTTTGCTCATCTATTCCCACTATTAATTATTCCAGTGTATAGATAAAAAACATAATTATAATCAAGAAAAAAGCATCATCATAATCTATTCTTGAAGTCTATTTCTGAACTATTTTAAAGAGAATATCCTTTGGCCTTTCTATTAAATAGTTATTTATTTAACAGAAGTTACATTTAATAGAAGTAACTTGAGAAGTTACTCAAGTTACATCTAAAATTGGTTCATACTTCACAATAAATAATGCTAGGGAGATGACATTTTCATCTAAAGTCACAGAGTGAACAGCAAGGTTTTTATCTCATGACTTAGTCTGATGGCCTTAATACCAAACTAATGTATTACTTCTTTATTCTTGCTCCTAATGACTACCTAAGTGAAATAATATAAAGTTTTTCCTACTTCAAAACTCTATTTTCAATATTTATCATAATCCATTATTCAAAATTTATTAAATGTAAATAATCATCAGTTTATATGAACAATATCTACCTAATTGATAGCCTGAAACAGGCTATCAAAAACTGAATTATTATGCTCATTTTCAACCAAGATTTAGAGTTCACAAATACAGTGTCATTTTATTTCAAGCTAATAAATCACCTCTATTTCTAGTACTGTGTCAAAACTTAGATGAGAAAATAATAGCATAAATCTTAATTCAATTGGATGCATTCCCCCTCTCCAAAAAAATAAATGACAAATGTTTAGAAACTAGAAGTTATAGCCATATTAGAGTAACTTACATGTCTGGGAGAAGAAGAATCTGGTTGAACACTCTAAAAATGAAACAAAAAGACAAATTACACTGCTGAATTCCTGGTAATTTTACAAGCAACTTACAAAATGCCTGAAATGGTTTCAAGTACATATTCCACAATTGCAAAATGACCTCCATTAATCTTTTCCACAGATGAAACATCAGTTCCAGATACTGATGTCACTGTGATATTAAAAACATCTCAAATATTTCCTGATAAGAGTCAAGAAATAAGATTACTTATTTTGATTAATTAATAATTTGCATCTAGCTTAAAGTTTTTGAAATAGCATATGGTAGACAGATTCATCTTAAGTGCTTGGCTTGTAACTATACATAAATGTAGTTAAGTTAGAATTCTTTCTCATGGGACATATCTCCATTTAGGAAATACACAATAATAACAGGTTAGCTTATAACAAGAATTCTAGTTCTGCCCACAAATTCCAAGCTTACTAAACAATTAAATGATACCTGTATCAAATATATTACATGCATTTTTATATCAAAATAATCAAATAAGCTAAGCTATATCCTTTTAAGAGACTTTATTAACTTCCTATAAAAATGTTCAAAAGATATTACACAGCTATTTCCCAAATCATGATTTTCTGCTAAGTTTCAGTTCATTTCCAATGGCATATCAAACAATTTCACTATGATGGTCTATCACTACCCTATAATTCTACATTGGACCACACTTGCTGAATTTGACATTTGATCCTTGGCTGGATTTGAGTCCAGGTAACACTTATTCTATAAAAGCTTTTGTTTTTACCTTCATTTCTGTTTACGACATAACTATTTTTCTAGTCAACAAGAGTAAAAAATCTCAGTCACCTTTTACTTTTTCAATATTAAACCATATTAACCTGAAAGCAGCAGACAACAGACACTAGAGAGAGGAAATGAATTTCAATGGTTTCAGGCAATAAAAGGATAGTTTATGGTGGCTGAAATGAAAGACAAGAATGAAGACCAGTCCAGGTGTGGTGACTCACGCCTGTAATCTTAGCACTTTGGAAGACCAAGGCAGGAGGATCACTTGAGACCTGGAGTTTGAGACCAGCCTAAGCAACACAGTGACACTCCATCTCCACAAAAAATAAAAAAAAAAAAATTAGCTTGGTATGGTGGTGCGTGCCTGTAGTCCCAGCTACTTGGGAAGCTGAGGCAGGAGGATCACTTGAGCCTAGGAGCATGAAGTTGCAATAAGCTATGACATCACTGTACTCTAGTCCGAGCAAGAAAGCAAGACCTTTTCTCAAAAAAATAAATAAAAAATATTTTTAAAAAACCAGTGAATTTAACATAGAATCACCAAATTTAATCAAAGGGATTTGGTTACTTGTTATTAGGAATCAAGGAGGACGAAGCAGAGTCTAAGATTCTAAGCTCATATACCATAGTCAAAAGCAAAGAAATAGGGAAACAAAAATTAATCAGAAGATGATAATGTGCTCTTTTTAAAATAATGATAATGTGCTCTTTTTAAAATAATGATAATGTGCTCTTTTTCCAACTGTCTGCTGTATATATAAGACTAAAGCTTATAAAAGAGGTGAAGGCTTTGAGATATAAATCTGGACATAACTCATATATGAGGGCAACAAATAAAGTAATAAAAGAGGATGACTTCACTGGCAAGGAATATAAACTGAGAAGAGGGCCAAATAAAACCCTAGAGAATTATCATAAATTAAGATAAAAGAACATAGAAGAACAAAGATGCATCAACAAAAGAGAATAGAGTCATCTGAAAAGCATTCAGGGTAGTATAAAGTCACAGATCAACAATCAGAAGAACATAAACATGGAAGACTGTACAAATAGGTATTAAATGATGCAGCACTCATAGAATGGAAACTAAGAAAAAGATACAGATTTAACAATTAGAATGATTATTAGCAACCACAAAGACTGTAATTTCAGTACTCAATGAAGAAAGTATGGGTGAATCTTAAAGAAATGAAGCAGATGATGTAGGTGGCTTACTCCAGGTACCCAGCAATAAATGGAGAGAGAAAAAAGAAAGGACAGCTTATAATATAAACAGAACTAAATGAATGAATAGTTTTTAGGCTGACTGAAGGCTCTGCATGCTAGCATGTGTAAGGCAAATATCCAATACAAAGCAAAGTGTATTTACTAAGAAAGAAAGGAAAGGAAACAGTTCACACTGTTTCCTTTTAAATAGAAGGTGAAAAATTTGGTTTTACATGAATTGATCCTCCCATTTTTTGAAAGCTTAAAATTAACAGCATTTGGTATTTCTGAGTCACTATTAAACAATAACAAAAGGACACTAATCTTCTCTTTTCAATGTTTCAAAAGAACATATATACTACTTATGACATTACTACATTTACCAATGACAACTTTTAATAAATTTCTTCCACAGAACAGAGACTCAAAAGATGGGAGTGGGAGAGTTATTGTTGATAAATTAGAAAGAAATTTCAAGAATGCAGTCTTATTTTAACAAATACACAAATATTTTCTTTATAATATAAAAAATAGGTTTTAGGAAGCTCTATTTACATACAATTATTTTTTAGTTTATATCCCCTTTTTGTTACCTATAATTTTATATAAACATTCACAAAAAATACCATCTTACTATAATTCAGTGAATGGTATGAAACCTTCTGCCTTTTAACACAAATATTATTCCTTAGCATGAAAAGAAGAGAAGCTGGTACCTTAAGTAGTGAGTATTGACAGCTGGCTATGACCAGGCAGAACTGGAAGACCCAAATATCTCTGAAGAAGCCTTGTATGAGAAGAATAGATCCCAAAAAAGCCACAAGAATAGCCAGGATGACAGCTAACACATTTTCCAGGATCTCACGATTTCTACAGATAGAAAAATTTAGAAGTATATTATGAATATAAGAAATTAATCAGACTGAAAAAAGAGAAGACATGAATATGAAGCTCATAATATGCTGAGATATCTTTTTGGTACTGGGTTTGAATAAGGTTTTGGATCATACTAAAAAAAAGTTTCATGTGGACATAACACAAATTCTTATAAACAAATAAAACATGCTACAGTGAATTGTGTGCTACTAATTATAGTACATAATATAGTTCTAATTTCTATTAAAAAACCTTACTCTGCTTAACATCTGCTTTTCTGTTATATTAACAAGCTTGGATGGCAAATAAAGTAGAAATACAATCAAGTTTAAAAAACCAACTCTCAAAACAGTATCTAGACTGTCACTACATTCTCAAGATATGTAGGAACCTGTATTTAAGTAATTCTAGTAAATGAGTTTTAGGATTATTTCAGATTACTAAGAGATGGGGAAAACAAAACCATTTGGTATCAAAATTTGATTATAAACTTAGTCATATAAAATAACAAATATTTTAAATTTAATTCTCACCTATCAAACAAGGCCAAAAGTGTGAGTCTGTCAAAGTTAATGCCGATCCATAGTTGGGGTAGGATCCAAAAGCGATAATAGTGTTTAACCTTTTGGGCAGCTTCCTCTGTTGGACCATAAGTAGCTGCCAAGTCAGGGCTTAGATCAATGTCCTGCTGCTCCAATAAATCTGTATCAATGGTCAATAGTCTATTCAATCGAATCTGTGGGAGAGAGAGCTAAAAAAAAGTCAGCATTGAAAGGCTTATGGTGTCTTCAGGCAAATCATAATTCAAGAGCTACTCAATCAGCTTGTCAATTACCTAAGCCCCTTAATTCCCTACTCTAGTCGACTCCGTGTGAATATGTTATGATCATCAGAAACTATAGAAAGTAACAATAGGAAGTGAACTAAAACAAAGTAAATTAATCAATAGACTTTTTGGAAAGGTTTTATTAGGGAAATGTTTGAAATATTAAGGTTTCATAACTGTATAGCTAGTGAATCCATTAAAATCATTTATAGTGAATCATTAGTGGTTTTTCCTCTCCCTATCACATTTATGGTCTTTTCTCATTGAGCTATGAACCTCATTATTAGTGTCAAATCTGAGCTGTGCTGCATTAGATCCAATGCCTTCAACTCTCATTTCTTCCCACAGTCTCTTACCACTGTGATAATTGTTTTCAAATCCCTCACCTTCTTTATTTGTTTTGGCAGGCTGCTCACCTGAGGCTATATAAGAAATTACTGCACTACATTTCTTTTAGCTTTAACTCATCCATGTACCAGTTCACCAGTCTCTTCTTCCTTTTGAAAGTATCAAAAATTTACTGTATCTGGCATAGTGCTAGATAGCATTTTGCTATCTCAAGGCTCTTGCACTGCTTAAAAGTAGAAAATAATAATATAATCATCTTCTCATTTTTGCTTTCCTATGGAGTTTCCAGTAATACACTATAGCAAGAAAGCAGGGAGAATCTTTACTTTTCAAACACATACATGAGTATTATCAAGAAAATTTGCTTCTTGTATATACACAGCCATTTTTATCTCTAAGCACTGACAAATACTTCTCAAAACACTTTTTTTCTTATACTCTATGCCAGGGTTCCTCAACTTTGACACTACAGGCATTTTGAGCCCGATAATTCTTTCTTGTGGGAGCCGTGCAGTTCACTGTAAGATGTGTAACAGCATCCCTGGCCTCCATCCATTAGATACCAGTAGCATGCCCCTGGTTATGACAAGCAAACATGTTTTCAGACATTGCCAAATATCCACTTTTGAAAACCACTGCTCTATGCCAATTCAAATCTATGGTCTTAAAAATCTGCTCATAATTCATCTTCAGGAAGCCACTTAAAAATTAATCCGTTTTGCACTAAATTCATCTACATGTATCTATATTTGTTATTTATAAGCATTTCATCCATTTTGTTTTTTCCAACTTGAATATACACTTCTTGATGGCAAAAGCAGTGCTATCTTTCAAAAATCCCCACTGTATCTCACATGGCATACTTTTTATATGGTATTGTCATTACTAAGCTTTCCACACATGCACACTGGTATATGAATAATAATTAACCAATATTTAAAAAACTACTCCAAAATTATATTTAAAGTAAGGGTGCAAAATGGCACAATTAAAAATGATACAATCAGATTATGAAGTTGGCAAGTAAATGGACCTTTACATAACCTCAAAATGTGTAATTACTGATTCATAAATATGGCTACACTTTAAATTAATGCTGTTTTAAGTCTGTTTGCTTCTTATCAAGGGACTTACAAGTAGAGATCCACTGTGGATGCAAAGGCGATTTTGCCATAGTTTTCAACAAAGTTAACATTTTGTAACTTTATCAATTTTTCTTATTTTTATAGCCATCTATATAGATGCATGTTTCAGATTTAATCTGAAATTATATCATGTTATAAAAATAAACAAAAACCTACCACATCATGTGGATAAAATCGAACTGAGGTAGAACTGGATACATGAGAATCCGTGTCACTAAAATAAAATGAAAAAGACTTTAAAGAATAAATAGTTTGTCAAACAGTATAAAGAAAAATAAATCCTTTAACAAATAGATGAGATTTACACTATCTTCACTTTTCCATGCAAACTTCAAAATGCTAAATAGCATTTTCCTAGAGTTGTGATTAAGAGCATAGCCTCTGGGTCAGAGTGTCTATATTCAAATCTGTTCTTCAACTAAATTCGAGTTACCTAACCTCTTTCTATCTCAGTTTCCCCATTAGTACATATTAGTACCTGTACAATGAGGTTCTTGTGAAAATGTTTATATGAGATAATACAGAGAAAGTAATTAACATATTTGGCCTGGAACTAGTAATGACATAATAAACTTAAACTATAATATAATAGACTAGAACAGGAGTCCTCGAACTACAGCCCACGGGCCACATAGGGGTGTTTTTGCTCGTTTGTTTTTTTACTTCAAAATAAGACATGTGCAGTGTGCATAGGAATTTGTTCATAGTTTTTTTTAAACTATAGTCTGGACCTCCAACGGTCTGAAGGACAGTGAATTGGCCCCCTGTTTAAAAAGTTTTAGGACCCCTGGACTAGAACATGACAATTTAGCTTCCACAGTTCAGTCATGTTTGGATTTCAAAATTTGAGGCTTTACCACATTACAGTGTAAGGAATTGCTCTTCTCTTGAATTACCCTAAACATAATAACAGTGTTTCCATTCCTCCATCCTCCAATTATTTTCACAGTTACAGAATCAGGTAACACTCTAATTTTTAATAATTAAATTTAATAATTTTTTGCGTGGGTGAATTCTGAACCTAGATTAAAGAAGTCAAAGAGAATAGTTATCCATATGTTCTATCTTTTCAGCATGCTGAAGTGAATGACTGTAAGATCCCATTGCTTTAAATAGCACCACAAAACTTAAAAATAAGTAAACTGCCCATAGATGTGCAACACTGAAATAGATATGACCTATTATTAAACAGAAGTTCTAAAATAAGAATTAAACAACCCTTGTGGGAAAAGTGAGCTAATTAATTAATAATGGATTTCAAAACAGCAATTTGAATAATCAATAAGATTAAAATTTTAGAAAACAAAACTTTAACACATTCTAAAACTATAATTGATTATGCTATCATGATCAAGATTTCTAATTTATTTACTTTTCTTCTAACTTAATTATCTTCCAATTCCTTCTTAATGGAAGGACAGAAAAGAAGCAAAGTAACATATGACACATATTTTAAGAAATTCCTCTTTAACGCTACTAAAAGAAATTTTAAATAAAATGAAAGTTGATCATTTTAAAAGGTTCTTGACCAAACTTTTACAAGGAAATAAAATTTTAAAATTATATAAAGAAAAAGAACTGATGGGTTTGATTTAATTATTATAAATATTTTTCTGATAAGCTTTTTTTTAACACATGATATGTAGAGTATGAAATTTATGGTTAAATCTGAAACTGTGAGAAAATACTATAATATTCACTATGAGATCTACAGGAAATTCTGATTTTAATTTTTTTAAACATAATAGCTTTATTTTTAAAAATATGTTCTCTTCATAGCAAAAAATTTCCACCTTAGTTTTCAGAAACAAATGCATTATGAAAAATTACTAGCACCGATATAAACATGTTTTCAAAATAACTTTTATATCTGACCTGGTGACTATAGTTAACAATGTATTATATACTTAAAAATCACTGAGAAAGCAGATTTTAAGTGTCTTCACCACAAAAAAAGAATAAGTATGTGCGGTAACATGTATGTTCATTAACTCAATTTAGCCATTTAATAATGTATACTATTTCAAAACATCATGTTGTACACCATAAATATACACAATTTGTATTTGCCAATTAGAAAAATAAATTATAAAAACAAAAAAATTAACTTTTCTATCTCAAGGCTTAAAAACATTAAATATAGCAAATATATGCAAGTATATACACACTCCTAATATGACTTCAGACATACCAAATATTAGATGCTCTTCTTGCTGCTGGTTCAAAGTTCACAAGTGACATATCACAGCCACCAGTCTCATAGATGGTAGAAGAGAACTTACCTAGCAAATAAATGATTATTTTTAAAAGCCATTAGAATACTCAGAATTTTTTCTTTATGATACACTAAACTTGATAACTTTTTATATTTTAAGAAAATACACTATAACATTTTTTCAAAAATATTTTTAAAACAATGATCTGCATGTAATTCAGCATGAAGTGAACTGAAAAGGAATGCTGGACAGCAGGGTAAATATAAACATATATAATTGTTATTAAGTCAGCTTTGCAATACCAGTCTTTCTCTCTTGTCTCCTACTAGCACACACAATTCAAGTAATCATATGAATGAATTCAATGCTATTTAAAAGTCATCTGACCACTACTTACAGGTGTTGAGTGGCCATTTGCAAAGCTGCTTAAGTTCTAAGATAGCTCAAACGGCAGGACAACAAAATTGTGTGACTGCCTCCTAAGTTGTGTTTTTCTTTTTTTAAAATAAGAAATGAAAAGTGTCAAGAGGCATCTAAGGAAATTCATGAGCTATAATAATATCAGTGATAATTAAATTATAGCATTTAATGAACATTACTAATTGTATGATTCTATCATAAGAACTCTACGAAAAATTTAGAAACAGCAATTTGCTGCAGTCAAATATCTCTACAAAACCAATAAAAGGTTTAGAAATTGTATTGGCTGCAAATGAACATAGGTTAAAATAAAAACAACTCACTTAAAATGAATTTTATAATATGACATAATTTCTGTAACAGGATTTTAAAACTCTACATACTGCCTGAAATGCATTCTTCACCTCTGAGGATCTATGGTAGCCATATGGATGGTGCAGACAGAGGATAAATAAATTAATACAAATTTCCATGAGGGCAATAAGATGAATTATATAACTGCAATCATTTGGGTCTAGTCCAGGCTGCTTTTTGAGTATGAGGTTTCTGTTTTACTAGCTGGAATTACTGAGGTTACAAATATTAGGAATCTTAGAGAGCAACTTCAACTTGATGGCAGAGCTAAAAGTCAGATTTTTTTGTGTCTACAATGCCAACAGTGTATAATAGAAATTTTTAAAATTTAAGTTAAATACTTTTAAAAATGACAATGAAAGGACTCTATAATATACTAATAATATAACTATTATATAACTAAGGGCTTACATAATATCTCAAGCACTACTTCATTCTTTAAAAGGGCTACAACCAGAAAAAAAATTTTCAATAAATATGACAGTACTTTCTATGGGTGATAAGATAAAATATACAAAATTTTCTTTTATTATGATGTTTTCTACATCAGCATTTTTTGTCAAAATAATATATTCCTGAGATAAAGTAGGAAAAGAGCTTTCTGTGAAATGCTCAGTTCACTTGCTGTGTTTTCTCAAGGTTATTCGGCATGTGGATCATCTAAGACTATGTTTTTTCTCTTCTTGTCTTTTAAGCATGAGACATTTATTCTTAGCATCACTCACAGAAACCAGATTAATAAACTAAAATGAAATGACACAAGCTGTTAATCTGGCTACTTCATAGATATATTACTTCATAGATAATATTACTAAGTTTCAAAGTTATTTTAAATTTTACTTTTTTTATTCTCTGCTCTTTCCTCATTTATCATGGGTAATCAAAGATTAGCTGTGCTATCATAATTAAACTTACCTTAAGAGAAAAAAGGAACACCTAATCAAAATCATAGACTACATAAATGCAGAATTATAAACCTATGTTAAATGAATAAATCACAGATTAACAAAGAACAGGGAGTAATTGGCTACTGTATGTGAAGTTCAGTAAGAATGGAATGCATAAACCTAAGTGTTACGACACATAATTTGTATATACTTTAAAAATAAGCTAATTCCATATTTAATAGAATTTAAATTATTATAGTATATCCTGAGTATTTAAGCTTTCCATATGATTTTTAGTAATAAAATTTCTGTTCTTGGCATATTAAAAATAATATTTATATGCAACAAAAATGAACTAAAGATATTTTCTTTGTAATTTTCAAATGGGAACAGTGAAAGAATATTAAGTCATTATACTACCATGTTGGCTTTTATGTATAGATTCTAGTATTAAATGTATATAAATAGTTGTATTTTAAATATAAACATAAACGAAGAATGCAAAAGAAAGCTTTTTAGGTAGCAAGAGAGCTAGGAAAATTGAGTAGTTTTATTATTACCTAAATCTACAACTCTAAATTTTCTATACAAATCAATGACTGATATGTAGTAAAATTTAAATAGAAGCATAAAACATGTCTAAGAAAAGGGAGGCTATGATTTTAACAGATGTGCATGACTTCAACAGTGCTTTATTTTTTTTCCTTAAGAAGTTTTTGTTTGCCTACTAAACTTTAGCAGCATGTTCAAGTTCTTAAAAATATACCTGGCACTTGTCAGAACTAACATTGTAATAAGGCTTCATGGTATATTCCAAATTTAACTCCAAAAGAACAACTCTGTCTCCCTCATACCTCTGGGTTTAGCAACTGACAGTACTTCAGAAGTACCAAATCTTATTCATAAGATAAACAGATCAGAAAAAATGACACTAAAAAAGGTATGGTTTAAGGCTTTAGTGAAAAACTTAGTAACATTTTAATGTGCTAATATAATCTACTGAAGGCAGCTTTAAAAATAACCGAAACAGAAATAAGTATATATTGCTACTGGTTATAAAGATTAAGAATATCTTAACTTTATACAAGTTTTCTCAGCATACAGAGCAGTTTTACATATCCCATTTGAGATTAAAATCATATTTACACTTTAAATCCACAGTAAAATGTACCCTTATTATTAATCCTACTTTAATATTATTCTGCATTAAGAATAATACTTCAATTTAAATCCTGATTATTTCTAATAAATACAAACTGGGAGGAAAGATCAAAGAAATGCATCTTCTTTACCGAGCCAACTGATCATGATTCAACTCCCAAGTCATAATTAATTATATCTGACTGAATGGCTCTATCACGATTTAAGGAGAGAACAACAAATTTTCAATGAACAAAACTAGAAGCCGAGATTTCAGACTTGTAAAAATGTTAGTGACCATGAGACAGCATCTCTAAAGATACAAAAAAGGTAAGATACCTGGCATTCCTCAGTCTCAAATATTCAATAATGACTGTTATTGTCTATAAAAATTAAATTTGTTAATTACACAAAACTGTTTTTTTGATGTAGCATGTCAAAGGAACAACAATAGGTTGGTAATTAAGTGATGAGGAACAGGAAGGCTGAGTAGTATTAAATACTGACTTGATGACCAAGGATACTTAAAGCATTTGTCTAAAGCCATGAATGGTACAGCAGACAAATTCTAAACAAACACTGGCAAGATACTCATAAAATACATGAAAAATTAATGAGTTTCTCTAACTCGTCCTATCAGCAAAAATCTTCACCACATGCTCAAGAATTCTAAGAATATAGTCACTAGAACTCACCTAATAAACTCCTATTGTGTTCTTGATGTCACTCATTTTCTAAAGATACCTATGTATCTTGTCATTACTAGAATGACAAATCATCTTCATGGTTTTTCTAATCCTCTATGTACCAACAATAAAGGAGGCATCTTAAATTTCTTGGGTAATTTTCTTACTTGACCTCCAACCCTACCTCTGTTCATTCTGGGCCCTCCAAGCCTAAACCTGTTAACACTGTCTAAACTGGTTTCTCATTTTTCTAGTATTATTCTTAGGGCAGGGAGGGGATACAAGAACAGAGAGAGATACATAGGAAGTAAATTTATAAAGTGGGTTTTAGATGACTGTTGGAGGACCACATACATCTATATGACTAACTTAAGTACTCAAATAGTAGATATGAAAAATGCTTGTTTCTGATGGTGATAAATGTGTTATCTTTTTTGAAATGAAATGTGAGCATATGATGCAGCTGAACTTTCCAAAAGTGAACGTACAAGTTTACATTCTGCTATGATTTCATCATATGCTCACATTTCATTTCAAAGCTCACAATGCTATCTCAATGAATAAATTGTACTTTTAAGAGAGAAGGCCTTTAACATCAGCTTTAATTTCTGAAGCACCCCCCTTCTTACTATCACAAGTGGTGACTCTGAATTTTCACCCAGACAGAAATGACTCACTCACTGTATTGCTTACAGGTTAATGGACTCAGTTCTCCCTAGATCAGGGGTCAGCAAACTTTTTCTGTGAAGGACCAGATAATAAATATTTCAGGCTTTGTGGGCCACATAGTCTCTGTTGCAACAATTCAATTCTACCATTGTACGTGAAAGCAGCTATAGATAGCACATAATATAAACACGTATTTATTGTATTTACTTCATTTACAACAACAGGCATCAAAAGCTGGACTTAGCCCACAAACTGCAGTTTGCCAATTCCTGTCATAGATCAAGAACCTTAGGTTCCTAAAACCTCTTTAATTCTTGTGATACAATGAAAATCAAGTCACTATGCTACTAATACTTATCATTTCAAGTTTCAATATTTAGAACCAGTCTTATTTTTCTTCCTGGAATATGCAACACTGTTCTAGGTTTTTAAAACAAAAGAATAGGGAAAAGGGCAGGTATAAGAAGAAAAAGATTGGTTTAGAAGAGAGCTTTAGGTGACTGGTAAGGAAAGACAGGTATCTCTATTGTTAGGCAACAAAGAGATGTATATGCTGATATATTTTATTGATATGGCCACTTCATTCTCTAGTTCTGATTTAACATGGGGTCAATTCATCATTACAACTCCACTCCCACTCCCTAGTCCCCAGGATCAGCTGAACTTTCCAAAAGTGAACGTACAAGTTTACATTCTGCTATGATTTCATCATATGTTCACATTTCATTTCAAAGGGACAAGTCCTCCTTACCTTGGTAAAATAATCTGTAACAATGATATTGATGACATTAAGACTGGTCAGGTAAAAAAAAAGGCAAGCCACAAAATGGGAGAAAATATTTATAATTTATATTTGACAAATGAGTTGTATTTAAAATATCAAAAGAACTCTTACACCTCAATAGTTAGA